CCTTTCGACGCCCGTGGCATCGTGACCCTTGCCGAGCGCCACGCTCTCTGCGTCACCGGCGACGTACTGTCTCAGGTGTCCGCGGTTGCCGGCGGGGGCGGCGGCGGCGGCGGCGGCGGCGGCGGCGTTGACGTCACCGCTGCTCCTGAAGCTCCTTCTTCCGCCAAGAAGGGTTCGAAGCTTACGTCGTCGTCCTTTTCCTCGGATGAAATGCCGGCGAAGGCGGCGACGCACTCGTCCGCCCTGTCGGCACTGTGCTCGCACGCGTCCGTTTTCGCGCGCGTGTCGCCGGCGCAGAAGGAGCTCATAATCGGGGAGCTGAACGCGTCTGGCCACACGACGGTCATGTGCGGGGACGGCACCAACGATGTCGGGGCTCTGCGCCGCGCGCACGTTGGCAAGTTTTTTTTTGTATTTAGTGATCTTTCCCGGTGAATTTCGTTCTTTTGGGAGTGGGTGGGCGATAGGTCTTCGACGTTTTCAAGGTTAAGAAACGAAGGCGTGGAGTAGCCACCGTAGTTATTAGCCCGCATCGATGCTAAATTATTCCGTCAGAGAACCGTAGGGTAAGCAATAGCTGCATGCGGCGGCTAGTGTATGGGATGGCGAAAAAAAACACGACCCCTTCCATGCTCTATCGTCCTTCAAGCAGCGTTACATGTAAATAAACGTTGTTCTTCAACTTCCGTGCCGTTTCACCATTTTTTTTCTTTTTTTAACAGGGATCTCTATCGTGAACTCGCCGGAGTTAGAGCGACGCCTGGAAGCGTTCCTCGACGACGGGCAGCAGCAACAGCAGCGGCGGCGGAAGAAGAGCACGGAAGAGACAGCAGGCAGCAGCAGCAGCAGCAGCAGCGGAAGGAGGGGTAAGAAAAGCCAGGCGAAGCAGAGCAGGCTGCTGGCGTCACGAGAGATCGAGGAGCAGGAGAAAGACCCGGCGCTGGTGAAGCTAGGGGACGCTTCGATAGCGTCCCCGTTCACGGCCAAGACCACCTCGGTCGGGTGCGTGCTCGCGGTGATAAGGCAGGGGAGATGTACGCTGGTTACCACGCTCCAGGTCTACAAGGTGAGAGCTTGTATGTGTAAGGCAAGATGTTTCTTAGGTGGTCACAAGGCCTCTCTTGGGTGTTACGCTTCCCTTGTAGGACCGAACACGCCGCCGTATCTGTACCGATTCACCTCAACGAGTGTGCGTAGCGTTCTTCAAGCAAACGCGACTTGTTGTTTCGTGCGAGACCGCGGGTGTTGATCTTTGCGCGTGTGTATGTATACCCCATCTGTCTCCACCCCCTTTGGCTTGACTATCCAGTCCCCCGCCTGTCTCACACGCTCTGTCCTGGACCCCCCTCCCCCCCCCCCCCCCCCCCCCCCCTCCCCTTGGTGTTTGCCATCGGGATTGTGTTT